TCGCCATCGTGACCGGTCAATGAACCTGCGCGCACTCTGAGCGCTTCGAAGTACAGGACTCAGGAATGGTCGGAGATTATTAATATTTTTAAAAGACGCATTCGGGGATAGGGGGAGGGCTGGACGCAACACCAGAGGACAAAAAAACTGAAACTAGAAGCAAATATATATTATATATATATGTTTAATGTTTAGAATTTTGATTACTACTACAGCTCTCAGCTAAGTAAAGTGTGTGTTGGTGCAGGCCTTGTGTGAAAACGGCCTAAGTGTTCGCGTTTCATTGGATTGGTGACAGTAAATTAGATCTCTATATTTTAGCTTTCTGTACAAGATTCGCAGATTTTCGGTATCACTGCATCTTGCCCTCCCACAGTTCTTACACCTCTCACACTGAATAGGTCTACTTGGGCTATTTTGCTGTACTTAGAGTTTTAGCATTGATTTTTTGTCTTTCACGTTTATTATATATTGGCCTATATATACGTTATGAATCATGACAGTCGATATTCAGGTTCTAGGCTCAAAACAAGATTCATTTTTACATAGTTTATATACACAGGCGAGCTAGAGTCAAGTCTACTCCTGACAAACTCAACCAATAAAGCTATCCTCATATCGTTTTATCCAATGTGTATGTTGTGTGATTTGTGTGTGTGTGTGTAACATGCTATGTATTAAATATATATAGAGGCTATTCACACATGTATATGCATGGTGTGTGTGTGTGTGTGTGTGTGTGTGTGTGTGTGTGTGTGTGTGTGTGTGTGTGTGTGTGTGTGTGTGTGTGTGTGTGGGTGTGTGTGTGTGTCTCTCTCTCTCCCTCCCCCCCCTCTTTCTCTCTCTCTCTCTCTCTCTCTCTCTCTCTCTCTCTCTCTCTCTCTCTCTCTTTCTCTCTCTCTTTCTCAACTCTCTCCCCCTCTCTCTCTCTGTGTGTTTAGGTATTTCTGTGTGTGATTGTAAGTGTGGTGTGTGTAAAGAGTGTCTCGTGAAAACTGTTCTCCGCGTCGTTTCCAACTCTGTGCTCGGGAAAAAGTGTGTGAATATGTGTGTTTCTCCCAGCTCTTGTTTGTGTGTTATACCAGTAAAGTTGAAAAGAATGAGAAGAAAGAAAAGAGGTGGACGATGAAAACAAGGACAATCCCTGTGGTGTTTAGTGTTTATGATTTAGAAAATTCGTGCATCAGCAGCAGACCGAAAAACAGAATTAACATTAATAATTTGGTCAAAATCGACTGTCGAAACTTTTGCAAGAAGTAACACAAAATGTCAGAGTGGCTTGCCTTAACACCAGGTCATGCCGTAATAAAGCGGACGAGTTAAATGATTAAATTTTATTGAGATGAACCTTGATATTTTATGTATGACAGAATCATGGTTGCAGGAGTACGGTGTCCAGTTGGTTATTTAATTAAGTCTTTCCCTCGTGTGGGGCGTAGAGGAGGAGGAGTAGCGTTTGTTTATAGAACTAATTTAGCACAAATTACAGTGAAAAAGATTCCCTGTCACTCATGTGAGGCAGCTTTATTGTCATTCCAGCTGCAGTCCCAAAGCATTACCATCAGCTGAATATACAGGCCACCACCGAGTAAAGCATATTATATCAAACCATCAGTTTTTATGGAGGAATTTCTAAATTTAATTTCAACTCTGAAGATGAAAAGTACACCGTTCATTATAACTGGCGATTTTAATTTTCACTTTGGCTCTGAAAACCCTGTCACTAAAAATATATGCAACCTGCTGACAGAAAATGATTTAAAACAACTCGTCCAAGTAGCCTACCAACACATAAAAGTCAGCACATCCTAGACTGGGTTATCTCCCCTATTGAAAAGAACTGTGTGAAAGGCATAAACGTTCTGGACAAAGACATTTCCGATCATTATCTTCTTATTGTTGACTTGAACATCAAAAGACCAAGGAAAGAAATAAAAACAGTTCATTCCGGGAATCTGAACGATATAAATTTACACCAGTTAGTTTCAATGTGACATTCGTGATGCTCTTGTTATTAGTTCCCCTTTTAACATAGAAACCCTCAATACCATCATGAGGAATATTTTAGATGATCATGCTCCAGTTAAAAAACGAAAATTATCTCATTGACCTGTTGGTAGGTGGTTTAATTTAGAAATAAAGGCTGCAAAAAAAGGAAAAAGACAAACGGAAAGAAAATGGAGAAAAACACGACTTGATGAAGTGCATAAGGGAATATTTATTACTATGAAGAATTCTGTTAGTAAAATGATTACCAAGGCCAAGCGTACTTTCTTTTTGTCAAAATTTGAAAATGTTAAAACTTGTAAGGAACTTTTTGATGCTTCTAGTGAACTGCTTGGCAACCAAAACAGAACTGTATTACCCCCTGGCACCGATAGAGATCTTTGTAGTAGCTTTTCAGACTTTTTAAAATAAAAAAAATCACCTTCATCAGGCAAGAGCTCGATAAAATGTGCACAATTGCCCCAAATTACAATCAGTTTAAGGGCTAGTCATCGATTATTTTACTCCAGCAACGGAAGAAGAAATAAAAAAAGATCATATTAGATAGTCCATCAAAAAGTTGCGCCTTAGACCCTATGCCCACCAGCCTTTTTAAAATATGTTTGCATGAACTTCTTCCACATATCACCCAAATTGTAAATGATTCTCTCCTCACAGGCACAATACCAAATTGCTTTAAGACAGCACATGTAAGACCCCTTTTGAAAAAAGCTGGACTTGATGAAAAGGACTTAAAAAATTTTAGACCAGTTTCAAACTTTCGTTCCTATCCAAAATTTTGGAAAAAGTTGTTTCTAATAGACTGTTACATCATATTAAAGCCAATAATCTTAGCGAAGTCTGTCAGTCAGCATATAAGGCACACCATAGTACCGAGACAGCGTTACTTAGGGTCTGTACTGATATTAAAAAATATATTGATAAAAAAAAGGTGTGTCTTCTTACTCTTTTGGACCTTACGGCTGCATTCGATACCATTGATCATGACATTTTACTTGAGAGATTAAATACTACTTTTGGCATAAAGGGTACTGTACTGTGATGGTTTGAGTCATATTTTAAAGATCGAACTCAAGCAGTTGTAGTTGGAAGCACGTGTTCTGATAATGTTTTGCTTAGATGTGGTGTTCCTCAGGGGTCTGTTCTTGGACCTGTCTTGTTTACAATGTATACACAACCTATTGCTGATATTTTAAAACAATATGGCATGAATTACCATCTTTATGCTGACGACACTCAAATTTATAAATCTATTGATTTCAATCAAATACCACTTTAAGTCGACTCTACTGAACAATGTACTAGAGATTTAAAAATATGGATGACCAGCAATAAATTGAAACTAAATGATTACAAAACGGAAATAATGTTGAGGGAAATACAAAAGCCTTAAAAAATATCCCAGAACTACATATTGATATTAATAACCATACCATTCCATACCATTCGTTCAAAAAGAGGTCTTAAAAATCTAGGGGTTCAGTTGGATTATGATATTTTTATGTACTCCCAAATTAGCCATCTTAGCGAAAGTATTTACTTTCAGCTTAAGAAAATTGGCAGTGTAAGAAATTATTCAACTAAAGCAGCAGCCAAGACACTTGTAACAACACTCATTTTATCAAAGTTAGATTACTGTAATGCTATTTTGTCCGGTTTGACAGCCGAAAAACTGTCAAAGTTACAAGTACTCCAAAATCAAGCAGCAAAATTGATAATGAAACAAAAGAAATCAGGGCATGTAACACCAATTCTGAAAGAACGACACTGGCTGCCAATAAAAGAAAGGATCAAATACAAAACTGCCGTTCTCTGTTTTAAAAGTATAAATGATAGTGCACCCTTTCATCTTAAAACATTCCTGGAATTATATCATCCACCTAGAGCCCTTAGATCAGCCTCTGATAATCTAATTCTAAAAACTCCAAAACAAAATTACAAAACATACGGCGAGCGTTCCTTTTTATTCTTTGGTCTCCAGGTAATGAACGAACTCCCATATATAAAATAAGATCTGCCCCAACAATTTCCATTTAAAAAAATCAGCTGAAGCATTTTTTATTCACCAAAGCAAACCTGTCCTAATGATGTACTGCGATATAATTATATATATATATATATATATATCACAGATTAAATATTATATCACCGATTATATATATCACGGTTACCGTGTACGTAGATATTGAGGCTATGGGCACGGTTACCATGTGTGTGACATTGAGACTACACGGTGAAAAAGTAAAAATAAATGTCAACGTCATGAAAGGAGCAAAGCAGTTACCGTGCACCTAGCTCAAGCCCCCCCCCCCTCCCCTTCCCCCACGAAACTAAATACCCGCTTACCGTGTTTGTAGATAATGAAAGGCGCCCGGTTGCCGGTTACCGTGTATGTAGATATTGAGGCTACCCGCCCGGTTACGGTTACCGTGTATGTGACATTAAGACTACACGCCCGGTTACCGTTAATATAACGTAGACACAGAGGCTACCGTTCGTGCCCGGTTACCGGGTACGTAGACACTCCGATCTCGGAATCAGAGTACATGTATTTATCAAGTTAAAACTCCTTTCCTGATATTTTATGTTTGACTCTGGGCATTTTCAAATCTGTTTTTTAAGTATTTCTAAGGGAAAAAAAGCATTTATACTGTGTTTGCTACTATAATACTAATAGATAATAGACAATTTATTTGGTAAACGAGTAAAACATTACAGTGTCATCGTGATACCACAGCTTGGTATGGCAAACATGCCTGGCACTTTGTTTTGTGCACATTTTCACTTGCTTTCATCAAAAGTTTGTTGATTTTTAAAACTTTTTCACAAAATAAAAAAAACAACAACAAAAGACAAAAATTATGTTTTGAGGACATTTTTCTGCCCAGGGGGTGAAAGAGTAAGGTGAAACCACTGCACATCAGCAGCAGGGAATTTGAACCTTAGATGTCTGTGTCTAGTCCCTAACAGTAGATCATATGTCTCTGTTTCAGTCTGGAGGTACGACTGTTCCCTTGGAGAGTCGAACTGTACGCTTTATTGACAACTTCAGTATCGGGACCAGAGGTGCAACGTCTGCAGAGTATCCTTATACCATTGACAAACTGTTGTTCGAAATATAGGAGGATTTGTTTTTATCCTTGATTTTGTGTCGTCATTGTTTTGAGAAATTGCAGCATAGCAGTGGTTTCCAGTTGCCTGCTGCCAGTTTGAGTTCAGTTTTCCCTGCTAACCTTTGTCGTTCACTGACTATCAACAAGGCTGCAGGGGTTTTCATAAGATTTGTGGTGCCTCCCATTGCCGGCTAAAATTGATAAAATAAGATTTTCGGCGCAAAAATGCTTTTGATCTTTTTAAAAATCTGTTTTCTGGCGCATTTGACCCTCGAACACTGTAACGTGCTTCTTAAAAGTAGTAATTTCAGACATACTCAGTTTTTTTTACTATAACTAGCGATAAGAGATTTATTTTAGAGCACCCAAGCAGCCCATAATAACATATGTCTATTTCAGATCTGACACTTGAAAAAAGAAGGAGAGGAAAAATAAGACTTCTTTTCTGTGTTTTTATTACCCCCATCTCCCCCCCCCCCAGGAAAAAGTGATAATGATAGTGCTAACTACAATCATTCCTGTCTTTGCAGTCACCTGTAATAACAGCCACTGTTCATGACACTCTTGTGTGTTTCCTATATTTTAAACCTGTCCATAGTAGTCCCTGTCTAACATGGCCGTGTTAGCCATACTTGCGACAAGTTAGACTCAATATCTACTCTTAGCGGTTGCATGCTACACAAGTTTTCTGCCAACCCATTCATAAGCTGAGTGTATTAGTAGTCAATGTAAACAAGCTCTTATGATAGATAACAATTTTGATGAAAAAAAAATGGAAAGAAAGAAATAAAAATTTCAGATTTTAAACCATCTTTTGACTTGGACCCTTTCTTTAGCGCAACCTGTCTATAATAGTCACTTTTGTCTGTGTTCTTGAGTCACCGAATTTTGGTCCCCTTTTGCGGGTATATTTTTTGAGCGGACCAGAATGTGAGTGACTAACTTTCTCCAACTCCATTGGCTCTATTTTTGTTCCAATCTGAATGAAAACTTGGCAACCAATCAGAAAATGGTGGAAATTAATGATGTGGACGTTGAAGTTTGTACACATAAATTAAGCTATATTTTTTGTGTCGAAAACATTTTCGTAACGGTTATTCTGTAGACTACAAGGAGCTTGATTTTCAATGTCAAGAAGAAATCTATTTTCCTCTATAGTATCCTCAAATTTGAAAGTTCTGTGTCAAGCAGTTATAGTAGAATTTATCATAAATGTACTACTACCTCCCTGTCCAATGTGGCCTCAAACAGAGTTTAACCATTTGTCCGCACTCCCTGAGAAAATGTAAGTGACCTACAAATCCCTGCATGACTATTCCAAGTGTGTTCATTGGTCACTTGAAATAGGGCAGTGGCAGGTAGGCACAGTGGGTTGTTTTTCTCTCTGCTCCCCTGTATAATCGTAATGAGAGTGTTTGCGTCTCTACAAAAAAAAAGAATGCTTTTTAATTGTACGGCATGTTAGATTGAATTGAATTATATTTGATGGTTGGCATGGTCTAATTTAATCAAAGAAAGTTTTGCCGTTATTAAGTCACCCTGCCAACATATTCTTAAAGGTCCCATGGTGTGATACGATGCAAATCAAATTAAATACTCTCATCCCGACATCCTTCTTTCTCAAAATCGTAATATGTACAATGAAAATTTTAATAATAACAAAATAACTAGATCTACAAAATGGTAAGGTAATCCGACTGCAGAAATGATTTCTCCACCCAAAAACACATTAAGTAACCAAGTTTCTTTTAAATGCTTCAAATAGTTTAAGTTACTGAATTTTCATCGATTTTCTTACAGAATCTGTTGTTACATGGTCCACATTTTAAAGAGTATTTTCTTATAATATGTGATCATGCATGTTTTGCCACACTTTTCAGACCCATAACTTTAGGAAATTAATGAACCTATCTTAAAAATTAAAAAAGCGTAATGCTTAGAATAGAAAAACCTTTCTTAGATACCAAATGAATAAGGGCTAAAGCGAAAAATAAATTTTTCATTGGCATTACTACTTGAGTGACCATGACTGACAGGTTCAACTGTACATCATGTATCTTGTCTAAACAACAAGGAGTTGACAACTACATGTACTAAAAATGTTTAGTTTTAGTACGAGTTTTATGGCACTTGCAGCACAAGTAGGTCAGATAGATGCTGGAGAGTAGAGGTGTTACTAGAGAGTAACATACCAAGAAAAGGAGGAGAGATAAGGAAAGTAGATGTTTGATAGGAAAGAAGGAGCGAACCATGCCAGAGCACCGGCCAACCACCCACGGCGGCATTTTGCCTTAACCTAGATACAGATATTTCCTGAAGCAGGGCTATGCTGTTTTGTTTCTACATCGCCAAAGGTCACTTCAGCCTTTCTGTCAGAGAATTGACCGCAATGTTCTGGATGATCTGCACGTGTCCACCGATGGTTCAGATACTGTTACAGGTAAGTTATATATAGATTGCTGATGTTACCAATCCAGCAGAAAGTTGGATAAACTGTTGTTGTTATTCGATCCAGAGGTAAATTAGATAAATAGTGTGACTGTTACAGGTAAATTAGATAAATTGTGTAACTGTTACAGGTAAGATACATACATTGTGTGACTGCTGCAGGTAAATTAGATAAATAGTATGACTGTTACAGGTAAGTTACATAAATTGTGTGACTGTAACAGATGTTAGATAATTTATGTGATTGTCATAGGTAAGTTAGATTAATTGTCTGGCATCATGGAGAAATCAGACGCTTGTCAAAATATTGAAATCAAAGAAACAGACATATTTTTTCAGTCTGTTTGGCAATTTTCATTGAGTTTTTTTCTTGTTTTGGAATGAACACCTTTATGTCTATTTAAAAATACATTTCTGTTTTGATTTTACTGGAAAAACGTAGATCAAAGGTACTAAAAATTTTAATTTGCAGTTTCTAAGTACACTACAGCTTTGGAAATCATCAAACCATGGCTTGGTAGCTATATTCTCACTAATTTACCTCGGACACCACGCGACACCCACCTTCTTCTATTACAAATATCTTGACTTCTGTTCGAGATAGATGGGAACAGTGGCTGAAATGGATGGGCAATGGGCAAAACTGGAAGAACTGTATTTGCACACATGACGGCCCCCAACTCTAAAGATGCAATAAATTCCCTAAGCAGAAGAGAACAAATCACAATCTTTCGCCTACGAACACAACACATACCACTAAATTCCTACCTTAAGAGGATCCGAAAGGATACCCTACCCGACTGCCCGCTGTGCGACTGCCAGGATGAAACAGTACCACACCACCTCTTTAACTGCCCAGCACTTTGTGACCTGCGTAGCACCTACCTACCTGCCTCCCCAGACATCGGAAATACTCAATACAGCGACAAAGCACAGCTGATTAAAACCTGTAAATTCTTTGCCATATCGACAGACCGAAGGGCTAGAACCCAAATGGCCGCTGGATCGGAAAAGTAAAGTAAAAGTGGGTATTTTTATCACCAAATCCAAGGCAGGTGAACGGGCTTTAACAATACACCAATAAGATCATGTGCCCAAAAATTGACAAGTGCCTGATTCCACTGTGTTATGATACTACATATGCTTTCACCACTTTCACTGCCTTGTGTAAGACTAACCCTCTGGGGCGGTGCTACTGACTGAAGTGTCTTTAGGCCACTTCCAAAGTGGGGGCATTAACATCTCGAGTTCTTATGCACAGTAGAATTGTAATTGTAAATGGGCTGATTCATCCATGTCTTGCTCATAACTGCCTGAACTGCAACAGGGAACTAATCCTTACTGTCGTCGTTTTTCCTCTACTTCTTTTGTATGTTTGTCACTCTCTTGTGACCCGCTATTTCCGGGGTGCCTTGATGGTCGAAACAGACTTTGTGCTGTTGAAGCTAGAGAGGTGAGCAGAGTAAGCCTGATTCCCTGTATGGACTTCTCTGTTGACATCCACCCCTTGGCGCTCTTATGACCTTATGCAGTTGCAAGGGCCGTAAAACCCTCTACTAAAACTAAAACTTGTCTAAGACTGTTTAGGAAGTGGATGGCTGGAGGGTGCTGCTGGTAGGTCCTACTTCTTTTCTTTCCCTCTGCTGTTTCCATGTGTGTGGGTGGTTAGTGGGTGTCACTGGTAGGTTGTCCTTTTTTTTTTTTACAACTTTTGGAAGATGTCACTGGTGGACCCCACTTCTTTTCTTTCACTATTCTTTTTCTGTCTATCTCACAACAAACATTTCCCAGCATTAAGTGACTGCTATGTGTTGATGTGTATTTCTTTACTCTAGAAAAATGAACAAACAGTCCTGGAACTAATTGAACATAGAGGAAAAGGATCGAAAAGTTGTATTAAAATATACACATATTTCCCCTCCCCCCCCCCTTTTGCTCCCATATCACCCCTTTCCTTCTTCCCCCATTTCCTTTCTCTCTTCCCACTTATTTCTTCTTTTTCCCCACCTTTTTTTTCAATCCTCACTTATCTCTTTCTACACTCACCCTCCCCCCTCCCTCTCCCAAACTACACACGAGGTTACGTTATAGCT